AGGAATCCAATGGCCTGTCACTTTAGGGGATATCAGATGGAATTTCAACCAGATTAAGATGGAATTCCAAATAGGCGGGAAGAAGATTCCATTGAGGGGAAGTTCACCTGGAGAGTCTAAAGTGATCAATGGTGAAAAGATGCAAAAATTGTTGAATAAAAGTGTCCAACTAAGTATGGTGACAGTGACCTTTGTGAAGCACACAGCTGTTCAGAATCTGAATTTATTAGAAATGCAGTTGAATGGAAATGGTAAGAATTTACCATCTGATTTACAGCAATTACTTGATAAGTATTCTCATATTTTTGATGTTCCTGGTGAATTGCCACCTCATAGGAGACATGACCACAGAATTGTATTGAAAGATGGGGTTTCTCCCATTAATGTGAGGCCCTATAGATACCCTGCCACCCAAAAAGATGAAATAGAGAAAATGATAAAAGAGTTAGTGCAGTCTGGGGTTATTAGGCCTAGTATGAGTCCCTATTCCCTCCTATTGTGATGGTTAAGAAGAAAGATGGGTCTTGGAGGATGTGCATTGATTATAAGGAATTAAAAAAAGGGACAGTAAAAGATAAATTTCCCATTCCAGTAATTGAAGAGTTGTTGGATGAACTAGTTGGAGCAAAATTCTTTTCTAAACTGGATCTTAGCTCCAGATACCATCAAATTAGAATGTGTCCCGCTGATATTGAGTAAAATGCATTCCGATCACACCATGGTCATTATGAGTTTGTTGTAATGTCTTTTGGTCTCACAAATGCCCCTTCCACTTTCCAAAGTTTAATGAACCATATTTTTCAGTCACATTTGAGGAAATTCATCTAAGTTTTCTTTGATGATATCCTTATATATAGTCCGCGTTGGTCCAGTCACCTGGCACATTTGGAGACGGCTTTTCAAATTCTCAAAATCAACAGCTTATATGGGAAATGAGCAAATGTTCTTTTGCGGCGAGAGAGGTGGAATCCTTGGGTCATGGGACTGGGGTGGTTGCAGAACCAAAGAAGTAAGAAGTTATGAGGAAGTGGCCAGCTCCTAAATCTGTCAAAGAGCTGAGAGGAGTTTTGGACTAACAGGGTACTATAGAAGATTAATTAAGGGCTATGGATTGTTAGCTAGGCCTTTGAATGAGTTATTTAAGAAAGGATCCTTTCAGTGGACTAAAGTAGCCGAGCAGGCATTTTGTGAACTGAAAAACATCGTGTCTGCCCCTCATGTGTTAGCCCTACCCAATTTTACTGAAGAATTCACTATTGAATTTGTCACGCCCCATACCTGGAGAGGCGTGGCTGGCACCCAGTGCCTCACTGGCCCGAGCGAACCACTCTGCAACTCTTTTTTTCTTTGTAACTATCATAGGCCAACATGGCCACAACTCGTAATGTATAACTATAGGTGGGCAACACTGTATCACTAAACTATTTTTCTTAAAACATGAATACATATGGGCCGACAAGGCCTCTGACATACTGTACAAAATGAACCTTTGTCTACAAAGCCTCTAAGATTATTTGACATCAAATGGGACAGGGTACCGGCCTACCCATAAGTCTGTAGAAAACTTCTGACACGATGACTCATAGACTCGACTACACTCCGAATGAGTTGGAGTCTTACCGATCCTTCGCTGAAGCCAATCTCGTCTACTATGAGGGCTCGTCAAACTGATTATCTATACCTGCAGGCATGAATGCAGCGCCCCCAACAAAAGGACGTCAGTACAAATAATGTACTAAGTATATAATGCATGTAAATCGGTATATAAAGAACATGGGAGAAACATGGAGTAAAGGACTCAACCTGTAAGTCTAGATAGCTCTGTAAATCATGAAATATTTAATATATCATGCATATGCATATAAATGTCATGTAATGCATAGGTCTGTACGTACATAACATCATCAAGCCTCTGAGGGCATCCCATCATATCGTCTCGTCCACTGTGGGCAAATTATCGACGTATACCAACTGATCAGGTGGTGGTGCGTATATGACGCTGTAACCTTTTCCCATATCCCATATACATAAATATACATACATACGCGTACATAACACCGTCTGAGTCATGGGTAAATGCACATGTATAAATGCATGAAATGCATGAAAATATGTTAATAATCTCAATATTCATTGCGGATAAACTTTATCAACTGCGTATTATTCTGAGGCCCATGAACAGAAGATATAATAATATGTCACATGGAGAATCAAGAATACAGAGACCCCTAGTATCACTATAAATAGAGTCGTTTATGAAAATTTTGCGTTTGCTCGTTTCTTCTGTATAATTGGATCATGCCAAAGAGAAAGAAGGGATAGCCTTAACATACCTGAGCCGATTCTCTAGACAATCCCTCTAAAATTCACCACACCTTCACTGTTGTGTTCAATTCAGTATCACACTGATGCAGTGAGTAACGTACAAGCAACAATAAACATTGGAATAGAAGGCAAGGAAGAAAAGAGAATATAATATTGACACCGGACCCAACCTCACAATGTTTGTGATACACCCGTTTAATGCAATACACCGAGGCATATGATCAAAAAATTATTTCACACCCCATGATGAAACAAGAATTATATCAAGAATAGATTTTCAAGATATCAACAACAATTTTGGAGGTTGGGCAGAGGAAATAAAATCAGAAAGAATTGATCATTCATATCCCAGAGGAAATGAGTTATTTTGGGACAAGCTTCTCTAAGGGTGTCTGTTCATATGAAAGCAACCATTCCAAAACCACAAACTTACGAGACATAGTATACCCCATGATGATAGTGCTACCAAACAAACCTCCAGAAAATATACACTTATTGCCATTACGGGGAAAATCTCATTCATCTCATACTCCAATGGCAATATTGCAGTTAGGTAAAACAGTATATTGTAACACATTCTTTTCTGTATGCCAACTCTCACAGATGCAGTTTAATCCACCTTAAAATTTCCCAAGTCTCGAGTGTCCAATACCAACTTAAAAGAGTAGGACTCAAACTCAAAACGTGCACAAAAAACTCAAGTCCACTGACACATTGTAGAAAGATGCAATGTTCTGATGGAAAATAATCATCATTTGACACTTGAACATCCAAATAGTGTAGCGTGAACGATACCCCAACCAAACTAACACCATGCTTTTAGAGTATATACTTCCAAGGATTGTAGCTTGAACATCACCCAATCAAACTATTAGCAAGCTTTTAAAGTGCATAAAGGAGAGACACCTGGCAAATTCATCAACAATAACTAGGACCACAATTTACCTCAGATGGCCACCTAATTAAAAGGGACAATGAGTCATTTGTTTGGTTTAGTGGCTTGCTGCCACGTGGGGGTGGGGTGGGGTGGGATAAGTTTAATCTTTATCCACTTATTAGGTAATTAGGTAATGTCCCGTTACTCGGTAATTAACCAATTACTCGCATAATTAAGAATTATTTCAAATTACTTAAAATTTTACTTATTTTTAATACACTTTATACATCCTGCTATCATGGTCATATGGTACCACATAAAATAAATATATATACTATTATTTCGTTAAAACATCCATGTAAAAATATATATATTTTCTCAACTTTTAATTTTTCTAATCTCGTACAAAGAGTAAAAAAAAAAAATTCTCATACGCTTAATTCTTAAAATGGTAAAAAGATAACCTTCTTTTCTTGTGCGAAAATAATTTCTATCTTTACAATAAAGAAAATCTCATAAACCTTCTCATATTATGAGTATAACTTACCATATCCGAAAATAGTAAACTATCCAAAATTATATTTATAAAATTTTTACTAAAATACTCTACTTAAAAAAAAAATACCACACTAACATAATACCTAACGGTATTAAGGTTGGTAAACTTACGGTGTCTTAATCCTTCAAGCTCATATGGATTACTACGACTTATCCTAATATTAAAATATGGGATGTAACAGAATTTGATGCTTGTGGAGATGGTATTGGAGCAGTATTGATGCAGGCAGGCCATCCCCTGGCATTTTTCAGTAAGGCCTTGGGATCTCAGTACATTAAACTATCAGTATGCGAGAAGGAAATGATGGCAATAGTTGCTGCAGTTCAGAGATAGAGACACTACCTGGTTGGAAGGCATTTCATTATCAAAACTGATCATCAAAGTCTGAAATACTTGATGGAGCAGAAAATTTCTACCTCTAGTCAACAGAGGTGGATAGCCAAGTTATTGGGATATGATTTCACCATTGTGTATAAGAAAGGGAAGGAGAATCTTGGGGCAAACGCTTTGTCCAAGGTAGCTAACGTGATTGGTAATCTACAAGCAATATCGTTTGTGACTGGTCAACTAGTACAACAACTTCAGGATTCATATAGGGAGGATCAATAACTCTCTAAGCTGATTGCATAGCTCCAGCAAAATGCTAATAGTAAACCTGGTTATCTATATAGAGATGGAATATTCTATAGAAAAGGAAAGATTATAATTGGGAAGGATCAAGCTCTCATGCAACATCTTCTTCAATTGTATAATGACAGTGCTATTGGTGGACATTCAGGCATATTGGGACCTTGTAGAGGCTTAAACATATTTACTACTGGAAAGGCATGAAATCAGATGTTTACAAGCATGTGCAAGAATGTGAAGTGTGTCAAAAGAATAAATGTGAAACTGGGGCTACACCTGGTCTTTTACAGCCGTTCCCTATTCCCAAAAGAGTATGGCAAGACATCAATATGGATTCTGTGGAGGGATTGCCAAATTCATTTGGAAAGACTATTGTTTTAGTGGTGGTGGACAGGTTGAGCAAGTATGCTCACTTCATGACATTAAAACATCCTTTTACTGCTGAAATGCTAGCTCAGACTTTTATAGAGCATGTTTACAAACTTCATGGACTACCACAGACTATAGTAAATGATAGAGACACTATTTTTCTCAGCAAATTTTGGCAAGAGCTCTTTAGTCTTCTAGGAGTAGCTTTGCATCATTCAACAGCCTATCATCGTCAAAGTGATGGACAAACTGAAGCAGTCAACAAGTGTTTAGAGGGCTACTTGAGATGTATTTGTGGTGATAGGCCAAAGCATTGGACTACTTGGTTACCACTTGCCGAATAGCGGTATAACACTAATTTTCACAGCTCTATTAGGACTAACTCCACCACTTCATGATCTTCCCTATTTTCCTCAAAGTTCAATGATAGAAGCTGTGGACAGGAGTTCGCAGGCAAGGGAATCTGCTATTCGGCTGTTGAAACACCATTTATGTTTAGCTCAACACGAGATGGAGATGCAGAAAGATAAGAAGAGGTCAGAAAGGTCTTTTATGGTTGATGCTCGGGTGTATATTAAGATGCAACCTTATAGACAGCTTTCAGTAAGAGGGAGTGACTACTCAAAGGTTAGTCCTAAGTATTTTGGACCATTTCGTGTAGTAAAGAAGATTGGCCAGGTTGCATATCAGTTGGGGTTACCACCTAATGCTAAGATTCATAACACCTTTTATGTGTCTCAGTTGAAGAAAAAGGTGGGGAATAGACCAGTTCTTCCTTATCGTCCAGTTTCCTTATCCTCTAATGGTTATATACTGTAGGAGCCAGAAGCTATCAAGGATATGAAGATTTTCCAGAAATATCATAGAGCTGTAACACAAGTCCTTGTCAAATGGTTTAACTGTTCAGAAGCTGACAACACTTGGATGGATTTGCAAGAGCGGCAGAGACAATTTCCTCATTTTAATCCTTGAGGACAAGGATTCTTTCAAGGGAGGAGTAGTTGTTATATGCCAATTCAGAGAGTTAATAGAGCCAGGATTAGTTTGTTAGTACAAGGGCATATTTGTCATTTAATATAAAATGTAATTAGTTGAAAAGTGGTTAAGGGCTACGGGAGTACAATTTCTGTTACACATTTCAGTTAAGAGAGTTAGGCATTTCAATTCATTCAATTGTTGCGTATAAAAGTAGGGGAATCTTGTATCATTGGAAATTATGGTAAATAATATCATCTCGATCCTTCTCTCTTCTTCTTCTCTTTAGTTTTCTTCAGCAATTCTTGTTCAGGAGCTATTCTTTTCATTTGGTTCCTTAGAGATTTGCGACTATTTCCTGCGACTCAGTTTTGGTACTAACATTAGTTTTTCCTTGAAGCTATCTTTCTTGTCCTTTCCTTTGGTTTGTTTACGCTACCAAGTAATTGATCTGCCTCTTCATCGTTCATTACTGTATCCTGCATGGTTTCATTTGCTATTGTGTTTTACTGATTGATCTACACTTCTCTCTCTATTTTTCTAGAGAGAAGGCAGAGGAAACAAATTTTTCCTATTCCATTCTTTCTCAGCTTCTATTCCACTGACTTGTCAGATTGAATACATATTCTGCTAAAGTAATTGACTATATTGAAAGATACTCTGCAATATAAGGAAACAAACTTACCTTTCCTCCTAGTTTGCTGTCACTTTGAGCTCTCTGTTGCAAATAATTGAAAATTTAGCCACTGTCAAGCTTGCTCTTCCCATCACTCATCAAAGTATTTTTCTTCCAAAATAGCTAAAATTGCTATAAACATATCCTTAAAGACTCCTCATAGACTCCTTGAAGAAAAGTTCATTACTTTCTTAAAATCATGTAAAACTATAAAGCAAGTCAAACAGATTCAAACACAAATTATAACTCAATGTATTGGCTATACCCAATACATTATCCCTCCTCTTTTGTTAAAATGTATGGAGTTAAGGCATATTTCCTATACCCACCATGTGTTCGATCAAATTCCTGAGTTAGATGCTTCTCCTTTTAACATAATGTTCAAAGGGTATCTCCAGAATGATATGTACAGAGATGTAGTAGTGTTGTTTCGGAGAATGATGGATGAAGATGTTAGGCCGAATTGTTTTACTTTTCCTATGGTTTTGAAGTCTTGTGTAAAGTTGTTAGCTTTGGTAGAAGGTAAACAAGTGCATGCTGTTGTGCTAAAGTTTGGATTTTTGAGTAATAGTTTTGTGGGTACTACGTTGATCGATATGTATTCGACTGTGGGAAGAGTGAAATGCGCTTATAGGGTGTTTAATGAGATGGTTTTACGGAATGTGTTTACATGGACTTCTATGATCAACGGATATGTTGCCAATGGCGATTTGGCATCAGCAAGAATGCTTTTTGACTTAGCGCCTGAGCGAGATGTTGTATTATGGAATAGGATGGTTACAGGATACATTGACTGTCGGGATATGGTGGAGGCTAGAAAGCTTTTCGATGTGATGCCAAATAAGGATTTAATGTCCTGGAATACTTTGTTGAATGGATATGCTAATAGTGGGGATGTTGAGGGGTGTGAGAAGCTTTTCGAAGTGATGCAAGAAAGAAATATTTTTTCCTGGAATGGTTTGATTGGAGGGTATGCTCACAATGGACATTTTAATGAGGTCATTGATGCCTTTAAGAGGATGCTAAATGAGTCTGATGTGCAGCCTAATGATGCCACTCTTGTGAATGTGTTGTCTGCTTGCACGAGATTAGGTGCTCTTGATCTGGGTAAGTGGGTGCATGTATATGCCGAGAGCAACGGCTATAAGCACAATGTGTATGTTGCCAATGGGTTGATTGATATGTATGCAAAATGTGGGGTGGTTGATAATGCAGTTGATGTGTTTACGAGCATGGATAAAAGGGATTTGATTTCCTGGAACACCATCATTAATGGCTTAGCAGTGCATGGTTGTGGTAGTGATGCCTTGAGTTTGTTTGCAGAGATGAAGAATTCTGGAGTTAAACCAGATGGAATTACTTTTATTGGTGTGTTATGTGCGTGTTCTCACATGGGTTTAGTTGCAGATGGTTTTGCCTATTTTAACTCGATGATGAATGAATATTCCATCGTGCCTCAAATTGAGCATTATGGTTGCATGGTTGATCTGTTGGGACGAGCTGGTCTTTTGGAGCAGGCGGTGAATTTTGTGGAGAAGATGCCTGTACGAGCCGATGCTATCATTTGGACTGCATTACTTGGTGCATGTAGAATATACAAGAACATTGACTTTGCGAGACTAGCTCTTCAGAAACTTATTGAGCTTGATCCGAAAAACCCTGCAAATTATGTTATGCTTGCAAATATCTGTGGTGATGCTCGGAGGTGGAAAGATGTGGCAGAGCTGAAAGTGGCGATGAGGGACACTGGGTCCCGGAAGGTACCAGGATGCAGCTTGATTGAGGTTGAAGATGAAGTGGCCGAGTTCTATTGCTTTGACGAGAGGCATTCCAAGTCAAAAGAGATATATGGAGCCTTGAGAGGATTGATGAAGGCATTAAGATCCTCTGGATATATTCCAGACTTCATGGAGGTTGGTCAAGAAAGTCCAGGATTTATAATGGATTAAAAGTTCTTTGTTTCTTGAACATATCGCGATTTCTTTGATCAAAATCTCTTTAAAATGTTTCATCAGTATCACTGCAGTCCAAATCTTGTCCACTTCAGCCTTCAGATGTTGGAAAATGAGGTGTAAGTTTGTCTCGTTTCCTCGGTCGAGTGCATTGATAGTTTCAAAATACACTAGTTTTTCTTTGATATTCATTGTTCTGTAAGGCAATGAACACTTGAGTTGCTACATGGCGCACCAGTCACATTACTTCAATGTAAGTGTAATTTAGAATATTTACACTAGTTCAAAATCTAACTTCTGGAAAGAACTGGCCTCTCCGATTGTCACTTAGGCTTTGAGGAGGTAAGGAACAAGCTTGTCCGATTCTCACTTAGGCTTTGAGGAGGTAAGGTATCATGTCCCTCCTTCATGTATTCAACTTTAGATCTTAATATACAAGATAGGGGTCAATGCCAAATCCCTCATCACCACGGGTGGGTAGAACCTGAGGTTGATTGGCTTTAATTTAGAAAAAAAAAAGGTTGTATACTTCAATTGCTTATATCATGGAATACCCATAGTGCCTGCACATCACTTTATGAAAATGAGAGGAAACTTGCCAGATTTTTCCATTACAGGTTACTGATCATGTAGTAGTGTCTTCTATAGAAGCTGCATAATAATGTTTGAAAGCCTCTTCAAACTAATTTTAATTTGCATTTGGCCTGGGAAGATGAAACAAATGCGGACTTGTATAGAATCTGAATTTGGATAGTCATTTCTAGTTATGATAGGTGAAAAGCATTGCTATTTTAGTTAACATGATAATCAAAGGGTTTGCAATTTCATGAGTTACTTCTTTTTGATATATGGTGTTTGGATCAGTAATATAGCATTCAAGCTGGCTCCTTTTCAAGCATTTGACTCTTGATAGTTATGTCTATATGCTTGTGTGCCTCTTCTTTTTCTTTTTTTTCATGCTTTATGTTCCCTCAATGACTTGAATTATAATTATTTTTCTGCTTGCTTGACCAGATTGAACAACAAAACTTAAGTTCAAGTGTCATATGCTGTCGGTCATAGGAATAACAGATAACATGCAGGCTGTTGTTCTTGGCCTTAAATTCGTTCTTGTTTTGCATTCTTCGAAACTTCCTCCTGACCAGATCATCCATATTCTTATCATTGGATAAGCACAAGCCTTTTCTTCCCTTCTGTTACTATTTGACGCTGCCTTTTCTCCCCTTTTTATTTATCGCCCTTTGTCTCCCCCTTCTTTCTTTCTTCCCCCTCTTTCTTCTTCTTCTTATTCCTTTTCTTCCTTTCCACCTTTTCGTGAGCCGAGGGTCTATCGGAAACAGCCTATCTACCTCTCCAGTTAGGGGTAAGGTCTGCGTACACATTACCCTCCCCAGACCCCACATGTGGGATTACACTGGGTTTGTTGTTGTTGTTGGATAAACACAAGGCATGTTTCAAACACAGGGCACTTTAGATCATTACGGTTAAGCGGATAAGGACTGGACCGTTGTCATGCATCAGAATTAAGAGTGAGAATGCATCTTACTGTGATCTTTATACATGTATCCTTTGAATTACTTGAAATGGTTGAATATTCTGTTCAACTGCTGCCTTGTCATAGTGAAGATTACTAATTGAGGGAAAATTGGGTACTTATAGGCTTCATTATAGTGTGAACACATATTATCATAGTGGAAAATATATCTTCCTAAGTTTGTGAAGTGTATATCTGTTCTCTGCCATTTATTATAGAACACTTACAACAGTTTACTGTCTCATAATGCAAGCATCAGTGGATAATTCCACGGCTCAAACCCGTGATCTATAGATCACACGGAGACAACTTTACTGTTACTCCAAGACTATCCTTCAGACTGCTTATCGATAGCCTTCAGCTAAATTTAGAATGTGTTGTAGCATTTAAATAAGGACTGAAACCTCAAGCCTGTTTTCTATCTAAGCTGAGCTCTCCTAATACTACATTCTAAATCAAAGCAGCATAATATATTGGGCTTTTGTTAATCTATTTTGAGCTTGACTTCATTTCTTATTTGTCTTTGGTTTTCCTTTCAATTTTAGGATCATAATACGAATAGTCGGATATATTCATTTTTTACTTTTTGTAGCCGATATACAAATATTATGCACCGCCTTAACATGTTTATACATATGTATATTATAAATAGATTATAATTATATTATACATCCGCTGGCTATTTTTAGTTTAAACTGTTAGGTTGACGACTATTTAGGTTAATTCTTCTTCAATTTTCCTCACATTTGGGTTCATTAATGGGCCAGGTCCAAAGAAACACCCTTCCGAAGAGCAACTTTCAGCTCTAAGTTGCCAAAAATAACCTCACACTGTAGCTTAGGTTATTTCAGTTAAAATCAGTACTTTAATGCTGTGACTTGGGCCCCAATGAGGTGGTTGTAAACTGGGCTAATGAGCTTGTACTATATATATAATAACTTTGTCCATCAAGACTTAAGCAAATGAAAAGAATCACCTAGCATTTGAGTCGGGGTTTTGACACAGTTACCCACAAAAACAAAACTATTTACCCTTGTCTACCCATTTGTTTTTCTATCCATAAACTAATTACATTTCCTACCCATAATAGTTTTTGTGGGGAATTTTTTTTTTATTCTCTAATTCTTTTTTTATTTCTATGCTTCTTTTCTTCTTTTCTTTTTTCTCGTTTTCTTCTTATTTTTTTATTTTTTCCTTTTCTAATTTCATTTAACTTTTTTTATTCTTTTTCTCTTCATAATCTAATTTCATTTACTGTTTTACTATTTTTTATTATTCTTTTTTTATACAATAAGAAAAAATAACTGATATAGTAAATATTTGTTCACCTTTTTTTTAATATAACTAGTACAATATACCTTTTGTTTTTTTTCTTTTTCATTTATTAAACTCAATTATTAAACTAAAATAATATTAGTTGTCACTTGATCTAATTCACTGAATATCACATTGATTGTTGCTGAGCACCATAAATTACATAATCAGATTCTAAGAATCAACACGTGATTACCATGCAAACCTTGATCTCTTTCTCTATTAATATCAGTACACACTCTACCATTAGCAGTAATACAACCAGTTATAGAGCAAGAAAACATAATCTACGGCAACCAAATCTCCATATATACTAGTTAGAATAAAAATGACAATAAAATATTGAAAAATACAACAAAAGTATAAGTAGCAAAAAAGACTTCTAGTACCATGTGATACCAATATGGTATATATGTATACCAACAGAGCATATGATTTCTCTAGAATATTGCTACAACTATCTGCGACTATACTATTGTACCAAAACATTAAAGGACGCAATAAAAGTATGAGAAAATCATATGCTCTTATTGCAAGCTAAATATTCACAAAACAACTTGCTCATTTGTATACTAAGAAGGTATATAGTTGTATGGGGTCATTCAATACAAGTTGCCTATAACTATAAAAACTATTACATAATACACATAATTTATGTCCATCGGCACACAAAATTCCAGCATTGCAACTCATGTTCATATAAATCATTTCATAATAGAATTCACTTATGATGCAGCTAAAACAACCAAATCGATGTTCAACTAGCATATGATACCAATATGGCATATAACTATACCAACACGGTATACAGTTTTACTAGTTAATTCCCGGCAACCATATGACTATACTACTATTACGTAACACACATGCATAAAGAGAAAAATAAAAAAATAGTGTACCACATATTAATATAATAAGGTATTTCAAGATATTGTACTATATTACTATTATTAAAAAAAATCAAATATTGTACCAATTAAATGCAGCTAATACAACCAAAAAATGATTCAACTAGCATATGATACCAATATAGTATATAGCTATACTAATAGGGTATATAGTTGGAATGAATTGTATACTAAAATGGTATATTTGTATACTATTTGGGTATACAATACAAATTCGTCTTCTTCTCTGGTTCAACTATATTTCAACCCAAATTTCTAAAATCTACTACAAAATCTCCACCAAATTGACTAAAACTTTAGCTACAACCTCCAATCAACTTTCCAAACAAACCCATACATCAGAACAAAATAATTAAAAACTCAAACAAACCAAGTTATGAGTTTCAAGCTTCAAGGTCCTTCAATGGTGAATTTAAATTTTTGTACAATAAATCTCCAAAAGCGAGCCAAACAGTGGAGAACTCTCCCCAACCGAGTTTTCGCTGAGCGATATATCGGCCACCAGAGAATGAATCGCCAACTCTCACCGCATGGTATCCTCCTTTCCGGTAAGAATCGAATCCCTCATATTCATCCTCCGAGGCTGACGACGATGATGAGCAGGATATTATGCTTTAAGACTGAATCAAACAATCCTGATATGAAAATTCTAATAGAATGTTCTCTTCTTTTATGAAATTTGATTATTTTTCGATTTAATTTCGAGTATATCAAATCAATAGTATAGCTTTGTGGATTTGAGGAAAACAAAAAGGCTGATAGAAAAGCAAAAAGAAACGAGACAGTGCGTTAATGGGGGAACATATGTGGCCTTCAATACAAGTCTCCCTCAGTTCTTGGTTGCATAAAGCATCGCTGGAATTAGCGAGTAAATAATTTGGGCCGCATGGGTAGGAGTAGTAAATAGTTTGGACCTGGGCATTAAAGGGTAAATAGTTTGGAATTAATGGGTATAAAGTGAGATTTTCCGCACCTTAAGCTCTCATGAATTTCACCAATTTCGTATAACATAGATTCACACGCTTAGGTGCCGGAGGAGTAGAAGATCTACTGAGTTCTTTAATTAAAAAAATATATATAGAAAAAGGTAAGTACACTATTTTTAAGAAGTTATTACTCTCTCCGTTCCAGTTTATGTAAACCTATTCCTTTTTTTGGTCCGTTCCAAAAAAAATGATCCCTTTCTAAATTTGAAAATAATTTAGCTTAAATTTTCAACTTTACCCTTAATGGGAAGCTTTAAGCTATTACAAACAGAAAATAGGTTTATTTTGAGTTTATATGTAATATGGGCTGCTAGTCCAGTTAAATCTTCAAACTTTTATAACCACACATACTCTGGACCCCCTTTTTGATTTGTTTAGGATCACAAATTTCAAAAGTCTTTATTTTTTCTTAAACTCCGTGCCCAGTCAAACAAGTTCACATAAATAGGAACAGAGGGAGTAGTTTGTTAGATCTATAGCTAGCCTGACATATGCATTGTAGAATGTTAAGGGTCATTTGGTTGGAAAATAAGTTATTGCATGATTAATTATCCCGTCCTCCTATGGGGATAAAAAATACTACAATCCCGGGATTAGTTGTACTATGATTTTATCTCAACCAAATATTGAATAAACTCAAATTTAATTTCGGGATTAATTATCCCTTATCCCTCCTGCCAAACTAGCCCTTAGAGAACACACGAGTCGTAAACCACCTTTTTGGTTTATATTTAAGTGTTGTTTGACTCAAAAGTTATCAGATACTTTTTAAGCAAATCAATCGAAAGAAATGAACGGATAAATCATAGCCAATCATAATTAATCACTGAATCAGAAGACAAATTTGAGATGTATGAATCATCCATTGGAGAATGGTATGGACGGGGTTTTATTCATCATAATAGTTTGATCTGCCTCTCCTTAGAGAGGTTCAGGATCTTACATTTTTCTTGTTCATCGCCCCGTTCATGGAGCATATACTACCACTTTTCTGTTTTCTGGCCCAGTTGAAGAAGAAGCCCCCTCTGAAGGTTCTCTTTCTTGGTATTTATAGCTTCAAGCTCTGTGAACTGGTCACGAGCCGTCGTAGTTTAATCGAGGAGACGTCCTCCTGTCGCGAAAGGGCCGTGACCCCCTTGTTCGCCATAAGAACAGCTGTCATGAGTTTTAAGTCAGTTG